TATTCACTGTAAACAATATAGAGGCCATTAGAGGTCATTAGAGGTCATTAAAATTCAATTTGATTTTATTTTAGGAATTTCGATCACTAATTAGGCGTGCATCCAAAAAATTGGAAGATTTAAACCAACACTGAAGGCAGGCCCCCCCCCCCCTACATCAAATGTGCCAACTCCACCATCCCCTGACATTATTAGATACTACAATTTAATTTTATATTTGAAATTTTTTAATCCATGACATAGATAATAGCATTAAATAGTGTCTATACAAAGGTATCATACCTTTGCGCTGAAATTCTGAACGATAAGTGAGACCAATACCAATCAATAGCTAATAAGCTATTTACTTAAACCTGAAATAACCCAAATAAGTGAAATTTAGATTTTTCTATATTTTAGGATTGGTATCGGCCATTATTATTATCGTAGAATCCACACACTTACGCTCTCATGAAATTGACATTCATGACAGGTAGAACGCTCAAACTACATATGTCATATAATATTGAAAATTATTGAAAATTACATTTTTAGTCACCCGATTCTCAGGGAAAAATTGACATCTGTTGACAAATGTTGGACAAGGTAGGTTTAAAATATTTTTGAATAATTTTCTTTCCCAAAACTTTACTGTTCATCTTGTTCATCCTGTTCATCCTGTTTATATTGTTCATTCTGTTTATCCTGTTTGTCCTGTTCATCTTGTTCATCTTGTTCATCTTGTTCATCTTGTTCATCTTGTTCATCTTGTTTAGAGAGAAGTATGAGATTATAGAAGCCTGTCATCTTTGCACCAAAGAAGAGATATTCGGACATAACCCTGTAGTATGTGTTGCTAAAGGAACAGTATTTAAAAACTACAAGAAAACATGTTAGGAAGTTAAATGGTCAGTCGTCGTATCTTAGAGTGTTCCTTCGGTTAGAGAAGATAATTTAGAGATAAGCATTAAGCAAGTCACTTATTTAGAAACTAATTAGTATCATTGAGTTTTTATCAATCCTAAACATTGATATTTAATTCCTACATTACCAGACAAAGGTTTTAAGGGTACCGTTGTGAATCGGTCACATCACTCTTTAACTGGTTTATTTAAAATCCCCTTTAACAACCTTGATAAGTAGCAAAGGGTTTTGATATAAAAAATTTAATTGATGGATGTCAAATTAGATTTAAAATATGTTACTCTGCAGGGTTCAAAGAAAAGATTAAATGTGAATCCGGAAATATCACTTACAGGTATTACTTACACCACTCAAAACAATAAGCTGCAAGACATAAGAACAAAACAGAACTAGACAAGACTCAACGACAAACGAAAAAACACAAGATTGCACAAATATAGAACTGATAAAATTAACAGGATAAAGGACAGGACTAGACAGAACCGGACAATAAACAGGACACACGACAGGACCGATAAAGGAACAGGACAAAATGCAGGAATATATAGGTCCAATTAACTTTATAACACTAAACAGAACAGGACTAGACAGTAGTCATATTCTATAAAAAAAAACAGGATTCAAGAGAGGAACGGACAAAAAATATGACATTGTAACTTGTAAGCATAGAAAATGGGACACTAGATTCTGGATACTACACCTAGGGGCGGATTAAAGGGGGGGCCTGGGTC